ACGGCATTTTCTATGTTTAAGAAAAAGCTTTCTTAATATGATATGAAAATGGGCGTTAAAGCAAGCATATGCGCATAAATACGACGAAGGAATTTTTCTCTTCTTTTTTGTTTTTCAAATGGCCGGATACTTCTTCCGAAACAGCTCAATCCATCGGCCATTTAGCTGTCTCATTACCAAAACTGTTAACCAAAGTGCTCAGGCGCCTGATACTGACCTGTAAAAAAAGGGGGAAAGAACACATACACAGCCAAGTCTTAGCGGGTTTCCAGTCAGCAATTAGCCTCGGCTAACTATTGTACCATCCAAGGCGACATAGAAAAGAAATTAATGTACCAGAATAACTTATACAAAACATGGGTATATATGAAAACATGATTACGTAATGATAAAACCATGATTACATTCTCAGATGTAAGTATATTTTGCGATTAGGAAGAAATCGAAAGGTTTCAATTGGAGGAAAATAATCGTAAGCATTTCATCTAAATTTTTTATTTGCCTTCGAATTTTTTCCTCGAAACTGTATTCTCGAGTTGTAAAACATACCTTTAATATCCAAATTAAGATCAAAATGTTGTATTAAGTATGATCTAGCTTGATTGTGATACGATCTTAACAATAAAATCAATTTGAATGACTGTGTTTCTACTGACGAGAGGAAATGGGATGAGCCTTTTGTTTCAACAATAGAAAACTGTTATTTAAAGGAAACCTACCATGCTGAAATGAGTTGTAAGGAATTAAATACATTCCCTCTCATACACTCATTACCGAACACAGTCATTCCCCTCCCATACATTTTTTGGTGTAGCACTCTTAATTAGCAGTGAAACAGTTTCTCCCGCTGATTGTACGATTAATATTTCAAGATAATTTGCCACGAAAGTGTAATAACTTAAATAATAAGTGTAACTCATTTTACTGGCATCATAGAAGAAGAATATCCGTTGCTTGTTTAAATTGATAGTAATAAATACACGTAATTTGCAGATATTATTTTTCTATACTGCACAGTAGTTCTTCGGATATCGCACAGTAAGAAAAAAAAAAGTACAGAAAATTAGTTGCTGCAGAAAATTTTAGTCGTAAATTAGCTTCTAGGATGAACATCATAAGATGCGCAAAATGAAGGAAAACTCTTGCTCCTCAAAAATAAGGGACAGTCTTTCATAATATGTAAAAATGTGTTTTCAAAAAATATTTCAAAAGCGAAATGTGAAAGAATTATTGTTAAAGTGTTGCTCCCTTTACGTCCCGCAAAGTGAAACTTGTGAAGAAGGAATGCGTTTGAGTAGGAATTCGTAGAATCATCCTGACGTTAATATCTGTTTTTGGCGAGATATTTTGAACATAGGTCAGGCAGGAGTACCAGATATCCCTAGGAAAGAAAATTAAGACGCCTCTATATATTGTCTGCTTACATTATACACAGTAAAACGTCCATGGAATGTTTATGCCTAGTTCTACGTGATTTTGATGTTCTGTGCAGGTGATCGGCTTAGAGATCCCAATTATCTGTGATTTTTTACATTAACGTTCACAGAAAACTTAGTCTCTTTTAGAAGGGACTGCCATAGCAAGTTTCAATCCGAAATATTGGTCTCTTTTAGAAGAGACCGCCGTAGGAGGTTTCACTGGATGTGCTCATATAATGCTGAAATGAAACAATATTCTTCTAGAATTAAAATATCAAAAAGATTTGACTATTCACCTTTTCTTGCTTGAGTGAAACAAACTCTCCTAAGCTATCATCAAACGGTAAAATCAGTTCTGTTTTAAAGTAAGAGAGTTACAGAATATAACAGAGAAAACTTTTAAAATATTAGCAAGCCGTATCCTGTTTGTTCTAGAAAAATATAAAATAACTAAAAAGGCAACAAAATTTTGCAGAAAATTGCAACAAGCTCGGAGGCTTTTCAATGCGTTAAAATTTGCGATTTGCTCTCACAAAAGGAATAGCTTCTCTGTTGAATATAATAACGGGGATATTGATTTCAAAGTGTAACTGAATAGACTTTTACACTTTTTAGAAGGAAACCCTAATCCTTCTGGAAAAAATCTAACTATAAAAATTATAACATCAAAGAGAAAGTGAATATTCCTAATCCTGGTTCTTGTTAAAAGATAATGTAAAATCAATGTAAAAGGTAATGGATATTTTCTTGAATTGATTCTGTCGATAAATATACAGATAAATACATTATAGAATAAAAGCAATAACTCTATGAAATGTACTATGTTTATTTTACTATAGCGACACTCAGGCACTACACTCAAAACGCATGTAACTTCCCAATTACATTGCAGAAAAAGAATGCACTATATATATATAATTAAAGACATAAAATAAGAAATTTAGAACTAATATTTCACAAAGACCAAAAATTGAAATTCATAATAAATTTCAAATAATTGAAACAAAAACAATTTAAAATTATTTAAACCAAAACACTTTAAACAAGCAAAACCCTATTTAAAAAATTAATTTAAAAATTAATGAAAAAGAAAAATGAACAAAAACAGAAGAGGAATTCAATCAACTTCAATGCTACTTCATCCGGGGGGGGGAACCATTGAAATCAATTAAATTCTGTCTTCCACAAAAATCCTTGCTTTTTTATATCCAGAATTAGCCGATGAACCATTTCAATGTATTTTAATTATAACAGTTCATCCGCAAATTTTGACCCTTCCCCAAAGCAAGGAAAACAACAAAATAATTTCTAATTAGAATAATTAGAAATTAGAATTATTAGAATAATTAGAAAAGCCTTAAAAAAAGAGTCGTTGCCACATCCTCGATGCAAATACCCTAATAAAACTGAAACGATGTTTACAATTACTGCCCATGCGCCGCTTCTAAATGTTCTCTGTCTGTGTCAGAATGGCGACAGTATTTTTCTGCTATTTTGTAACACACTGCATTAAATAATTAAATTAATGTTAAAGTTAAACGAATTAAAATCTAGTTACTTTAAAAAGCTAGATAATTTTGATCATTACTAAAAGTAACAATACAACATTTAATGTACCCTGGCAGAATATAAATTATGCCAGTTTGCTGTTAGTGTCCCTTTATTTATTTTCTATACCTGGACCCGCTATTGTATAGTTAAGATTTGTTAACGTATGTTTAGGAACAAAATTTATGAAATACAACTTAATGTTACCTTTTTCAAATACCCTTTACATTTTTTTTTGTTCAACACAGCATTAAATATTTACATATTCATTTTATTTGAAGAAGTAACCTACAAAGTGTCTCATTAAGGAATAGCCATTTCCATTCTATCTCTTTTCCTTCTGTCATTCGTTAATCATTCAAAATGTTCCAATAATTTAAATTACGCACAATTTTTATTCTGTCTGTTTGAGATGCGGACAATTTTCGAATGATTCATGAACAGCCACAATGTGGACCACTGTCTAGTTCGGAATTTAGGCTGTCGAAGTGATTGGATCATACATGAAGAAGAACGTGCCAGCAGAATTGTGAGGGGACTTTTGGAATGTACTGCATTTCTCACTCAATTGCAATATGGTTTCATTGTATTAAAATAAAAATGTCAGAGATTTTCAAGTGATTTGTTGCAAATGCTTTTGTTGAAAAACTGTTTTTGACTTTTGAGTAATCCCTGATATATACTGGTACAAGGAAAAAATAAATAAAATGTCTGAATTTCACTGTAATGTGGTACAAACAGCCGTTTCTGAGTACATGGCCCTTTCAAAGCAGCCAATTACAAATTTTTAAATAGGTTTAGAAGTGATTGTTGTGCAAGCTGTGAAAATGGAACTAAACTTATCGAGCTATTTAGCATTTTTGGAACAAGAAAACGATACCTTTACCGGGATTCGAATTCCGGATCTCCGCACTATGAGCCAGACATAATAATAAATGCATCATGAGGGCAGGCAATGAGAAAGGCAAAAACTCTTTATAAGCTTGTAGAAACTATTAGGTTTTCATAGCGGAGGAACGGGAAAAATCAGCTGTACCCTCACCAGTAAGCGAACCACAAATTTTCTTGTTGTTATCTGGATGCGCTGACCACCACATATAAGTTGCACACATAGTGGAATACCATTATTCTTAATGAGTTATCGTATAAGGTATTTCTGCCGCCTTCTTAGTGTGCCTTCGTGATGTAGTGGTCTGCACGCTGGGCGTGTATTCCAGAGATCCGTGGTTCGATTCCCGGCGAAGGCGTTGCTCATTTTTCACTTCTCTTGCTAAAAAAAAATACCTAATAGCTCTACAATCTGATCATTACATAAACGTAGGTAGTATGCTCGGAACCTTGAACTGCGCTTCCCTTTAATTGCTGTGTTCAGGGTTAATTTTATACTTTGAAATAAGATCCTCCTAAAGAGATTCACGGTACATTGCAAATGGAAAATTTTGTGCAATGTCTTGTTTCAGAAAGAATGCAGTTTTAATTTTGATTTACAAGCGCCTCATCATGAGCAGATAGAACGAGTAGCCTGATATTTTAACCTATTGAAATCTAAAAAAAGTGTTTTTTAGATTTTTCAGTATGTTTAGTATTCTGAAATTTAAAAAAAGATACATTTTGTTGGACTGTTGCTAGGACCATTAAAATGAGTGTTCGCTCTTCTGGAGCAGCCGATTTTAAATATGATATACAGCTTCCTTAGGGAAAGTTGGCATAGTGTTTACAGTAAAAGCTACAGTTTTGCTTATAAATGTTAGCAAGCATTACTTTTTTATGCAATTTGTTTTTTTATTAATTTACGGGGAAAAATAAAAATTAAAGTTCTTTACGTATGCAATCAACAGCCTAGCAGCATGATTAAATGTTTCTCATGAGATTATAAGGTAAAATATTTATTTCCCATTCAGTAATTTTAACTTCTGTTTCCATAGAAAATATATTAAAATTTTTCTGCACATTGTTATGAATAACTAGGAGTCCATTTTCAGCATGTAAGTCTCCTTTGTATGTTACAATATTAATAAATTTAATGTATTTTAGGAGTTCCATATAGAAGAAAGCCACCAATACCAGAAGGTAAGTTCAAAATATTTTTTTTGAGTATTGTTATTTAAACAGTTAATTATGAAAATTCACTTTACGGCTTGATAATTATGTGTAGTTTCTAGTGCAAAGGTGAGCATGAAAAAGCAAGCAGGGGAAAGCGTGCATCAGCAAACACTTTTGTTTGTTATTTCAAGGGAAATTTCGATTTTCGAAGGTTCCCGAGCTCATTATTCAGATCAATTTTGAGTACAGCGTTTGAGAAAGCTTACTTCCCTGTTAGCAGCAGCAGTCTGAGTTTAAAGCGAAGAAAAATATATTTACTTATTAAATTCTTTAGAAATTGCTTTATTTGAAGACATGCAAACAAGCAAAAACTTAATTTAGTCGTTAATGGTTTAGGGGGAAAATAAATTAAGAAATATCTCTAGCTGATTCTGACATGATCTCTAGCTGATTCTGACATGCGATGACCAGTATATGCCGTAAACATTACTGGTCGAACGTTATCACCAAATAATAGAACCAGGTCTCAGAGAAATTATTATCAGCAGCATATGTATGCTACTGTGACACACGACAAATCCTTCATAACATTGATTTAAATTTATTGCAGTAGTCGTCTTTCCTATAGTAGCATAAATATTCTGCTTATTAACAGTTCAACCCTTATATAAACATTCTCAAAAGTTGATACTAAATTTGAGTTCATTTTAATATAAAAAGCTCAAAAATGATGCAAAAAAATTTAAATAATTATGAAAACAACAATTTTTAAACATTTTTATACCTAAAAAATGAAAATAAAAAAAATCAAATGACACTAAAAAATATCAAAATATTATATATTTAGTAAGGAATCAGGGGGTACACATTTATCCCTCCCTGAAAAAGCATAAAATTCTCATACACAATTAAAGATATTGTAGCGTCGTGCATTCTTAGCTATCATAAAACGTACGCGACGTTGAAGACAGTTTGGTGAATTGTCACCATATCCTTTAAAGTAAAAGTAACCCTCTTACAACACGGCATCCTGTAACACAGTTTCGCTATAACACGAATCATGAATTGCGACAACCCTTTCTAAAACACGGTTTCGCTCTAACACGATAAGAAAATTCCAAGAAATTTAACGAAAGCAATCCAAGCAATTCCAAGAAATTTAACGAAACTCCGCACGAAGTTTTCCCAAATATTGAGCAAAGCACCAACATAGTCCACTTTGAAGACGGCAGCCGAAATATAGACCAGATTTGCAATGTCTAAAAAAAAAAAAAAAAAAAAAGGCTATGACCCAAATATCGAACAGAGAAATTCTGTCTGCCTCACCCTTCAGGGTATGAAGATAGTCATTGTCCGACAACCTTCTCTGCCCCTCTTATTTGGAGGTGACGAAGCACTTCGTTTGCAGGCTCCTGGGCTTCACCAAAGAACGTCGATGTAAAGAAGGGAAGGCTCCATAGAACAGATCAGTTGCGTGGCTAGGTGGCATGTAACAGCCTCCGCTGCTTTAACCACCGCTTTTGAGTAATTGCCCTTAGGCGGTAGTAAAAATTTTTATTAAAGGTGATTAACGCCGCGCCTACTAGGCGAAGATGGCGCAGATACATTACGTATGTGAAGTAGAAGCATCTCGAAGCCGTTCAAGCTGTGACAAATCGTACCGAACAATCTGGTTGGCGGAAGCCAGTCACGTGGGTGGTCATCCACCCGCGTACTGACCCGGAGATATGCAGCTAAGTAGCGCGCAATGAAAAATTTAAGTTATCTCACTTGATAAATTTTGACGCTAGTTTTGAAACAAGTTCAAATTAAATCTTTATATACATTAATTATTCTAGAGCTATTAAATGGCACGGTGAGGAATTATCAGCTGAAATACTAACTCACTTGCACTGAGTATCTGAAGAACATCACACTGATTGGACGGCGGCAGTCACGTGGGGGGGTCACCCTCCCGGGAACTAATCACGGCGAATGCTGCTTGAAAAGTAAGATTTCTCAACTGAGAAGTGATGAAGAGTACACACTTTAAAAATTTAACAGTTTTGAAGAAACACACTGTACACACTAAACAGAAGCACATAAAGTTCGGGAGTGGAACACACGTTAAGAGTACACTTGCAAAGTAAATCTAATCTCACAACATCGTGGCATATGATACATTTTGCAGTAAGGGTAACGAAATGGTGAAAACACATACACATAAATCATTATACACAAGTGTAACCAAAAGAGCTTTTCAAGTCCTACCAAAAGGTTCAATTCTAAACAACGTCTCTTGAAAAGAAACACAAATAAAATACTTTGAAGTATTGATAAGATAGTACTTGAAAAAAATAATAAGAAGATAAACCACTTGAGCTTTTACAGCCCTAATCAAGTCCATATAAATACACAAAGTCTCTAGAGGTGCTATTTACAATATGTACACTATACACAACGCTTTCACCATTTTTGGGTTATGAAAAATGCTCCTATTTGGCTGCATTTTCCTATGTTGGAAGGTACGTTAATTAATCAGTTCTTTAATATGATTGTATTGGGACTGTTCAATTTTCCCGTAGAAGTTATGACTTGTTGAAATAATCTGGTCTGCAATAGATCTAATCTTTATTTCCTTGTGGATTTGCAAATTCCTAACGAACTAAGGAGAATTAACGATTTCTCACAACATTTTGTTTTGGAAGACTTGAAGTTTATGTCTGTAGGTTTTAAAAACCGTAGTCCAAATTGGATAGCATAAAGCAGGTCATAGCATATAGCATAATTGCGGTCGAATTAGCGTCGTATAAATTATTTTCTTTATGTTGATATTTAATTAAGAGGGTATAAAGCCATTTTCGCAGCAGTTGCTTTCCGCAGAGCATGATTAATATGGTCTTTAAAACTAAGCTGTGAATCAAAAATAACGCCCAGGTACTTCGTACTATTAACAACTGGGAGTGGCTGATCATTTATCTTGATGTTAACGTTAACTGGGATAATTCTTTTATGTCTTCTGAAGAACAAAATTTGGCACTTAGCAGGGTTTACCTTAAGCTTCCAGGAATTATAGTAATGAGCAATATTAACTGCTTCTTGCAGCTTGTCCACGGCGAGTTGCGGCTTTAAGGATCTTGTTAGAATAGTAGTGTCATCTGCATATTTCACAATTTTTGTATTTAGAGGGATAGGCATATCATTTGTAAAAATATTAAAAAGAAGCGGGCCGAGGACACTTTTGATTCTTTTTCTGGAGGAGAGAGTATCTTGACATGATCTTGACATGAAAAGTGCGTTTCTATAAGTAGCTTTACATGAGTTTGATAAAATTTATAGGCAAATGAGCAAGGTGCAGCTTATAGAGGAGACCCTCATGCCACACCTTGTCAAATGCCTTTTCTAAGTCCAGAAAAAAGCTTGAAATGGTATTTTTCTTCGAGAAGAAATCTGCTATGAATTGAGTAACATTAAGTAATTGATGTTCTGTCCTATGCCCGGGGCGAAAGCCGAACTGCTCGTTCCGAATTATTTCTTTATCTTCCAAATGTTTAGTTAGTCTTTTCCGAAGAACACGCTCGAAAACTTTACTTAGGCTAGGTAGTAGGCTTATTGGGCGATAAGAGGTAACATTTTTTGGATCCTTACCCGGTTTTACAAAAGTTATGATGTGTGTCGTCTTCCATTGCTGCGGAAAATAATTTAATCTCATGCAGGCATTAATTATATTTTTAATCAAAACAATATAGCCTTTGGGGAGAGTTTTGAGTACACTGTTTGTGATCCCGTCTAGCCGGGGGCCTTTCTATTCTTTAAATTCTTGCTAATAGTTTCAACTTCTAAGGAAGAGGTGAAACTGAAGTGTTGAGCATGAGTTCTGTCATGTAGATGGGTAATGAAGTTAAGTACCTCCTCTTCAGTGTCATCATTCTGGGAATTATTATTCGTAAAAGTGTTTTCTAAATGCTTAGCGAGAGTATCAGCCATATCGTTTTCGGAATAGGCAATACCTAAATCTGTTTCTAACGGTCCGATGTTATCACTATGAGTTTTTCTCAGCCCTTTACCGATACTCCACACGCTGTTTATCCATTGAGTCTAAAAGGTTATTCCAGCTATCCGATCTGTATTCTCCCAGAAGATTTTTAATATTTCTATTTTTCCTATTTAAATTTCTTTTGATAACTGGATCAGCAGTTCTGCACCAGATTATTGCGGTGCGGTTCTTGTCTTTTAATGTTATCTATAATGTTGTCCGGGAGTTTAGCTTTTTTGAAATCCTCATCTCTTGTAAACTCATCGAGGGCACTTTTAATACATCTGTTAATTTTGGTAATCTGGTGTTCGACGTCTGCAATATCTGATAGTGCCGGATGCGCGGGAAGTTTTTCCAAGGAAAGACTGAACCTATCCCAGTTAGTAATTTTTCTAAGTGGGAGATTTTTCTCGAAGCCATAGTACGTAAACCTGACAGGCAGATGATCAGAGGTTAACTGATGAGAAACTTGTATGAAAGGAGTCTGCAGTATATTTTTAGTGATAACTATATCAAGTACATCAGCACAAGTGGTGGTATCTGGTGGGATCCGTAGGACCAAAGATATTTCACCCTTTGCGGCACAGTGTGTCCAGTCTGGACAGACCTAAAAATTTTCTTCTGTACGCACAGAAAAATAGAATGAAAAAGGATTTATAGTTTACTATAGGTTACTCTGAACCTTCTTTATTTATAGTAGATGGCAGCTCAACACAAACCAGTTCATATATTTTAGCCATGTTTAGTTTTTTAAAACCCTCATTTTTCAAAGAAATCTTCCAAATATTTTTAGGGTATTAAAGGAATTGTTTGAAAAGAAATTTCTATGTTATTTTTTTGGCTGTATGCTAATCTCCTTATTCTATATTAGTTTTAAATTTTTACCTTCAAATCTTCCCTAAAATCAAACGGAGAACCCTAGGTGTTACTAGACCGAGCTCACCGATAATCTAGGACAACTGAGAGTCTGTATTCTTTGTTTCTCCGCATCTCATCCATCAGTTCATTGACA